GTTGCGTAGTTAGGAATGACAATGTACCAATTATATATAAACTTTATGGACCATCTAGACTCTAAAATTTAATAGCAATTTTAACTTTGGTTATGCTGAATGCTGTTGAAATTCTACCATATCGAATGGCAATTTAACCTTAGGTAATGCTGAACGCTGTTGAAACTCTACCATATCGATCTCTTGGCACAACACAGTTAGTGATAGTGTCAGCGCTAGTGCACGAATTGTGCAACGAACGCGTCCCAGCCGACGTTATCAAGATGAAGATGAGAGGCGTCAAGACCGCTCTATATTCAGAGGCAAGCCTTTGGTTCAATCGAACATCGATTCACGTGAATAATAAATGAATTTAAGTTCAAGTTTGCTTGCTAACGCCGTTATCTATGAAGCTAACCTAATGAGTGTGACGGTCACGACTGTACAGTTTATGTTTTAAGTTCTGAAGCGCATAGACATTTTGTTTTGCGAAAAAAGTGTGTGTATCCAAATTGATTTCGAGAGAACTGCAGAGAAAACTTAATAGCTTTTCATTTATTATTTATGGACTACGATGAGTGTTTTTCATTTCAGTGCGTTAATTAAATGATCAATTATTTAAATATCCGGGCCATGAACCAGAATGTTTTCGTCATCATCACTCTGGTCGGTGACGACATCACTCAAGACTCTGTGTGCCTGCGAGTGATGTCACTTCGATCACCACTACGGGTTCATTTCTTGACGTCACCACTCTAAGCGTAGGAGAAGTCATGACATCACCATGCGAGTCATGGGTCGTGACGTCACCACTCACACGTAGAGGAATTCATGACGTCACCACAACAGGTTTATTTTTGTGACGTCACAAGAACAGGTTTTGTAGCGAATGGGCGCCATCGCGTGAATTTCTAGAAATCCTGACTTCAGCTACGCATAATTTAGCAGTCGTGACGTCACTATAACGCATTAATTTAATAAGAATCTAGTGAGTCAATCTACCCAAGGTTAAAAGTCATGTCCATTTTTTTTAAATGTATAAGAATTAAAGTGTCACACAAGAACTTTATCTAAAATGTTTAATTGCCTATGAAAAACCAGCACAAACTAGAAGAAACAATCGAGGCAAGAATCCATTAATGGCAATCAAACATTTGCGTGTTTGATTGTGCGTGTGTACAATCCAGTGTGTGTGTGAATGTTGTGCGTGTACGACGCGTGTGTGTGAATATTGTGCGTGTACGACGAAACACAAAAATCCAGTAACAATTTCTTAGCTACAATTGGTATGTAGAAGCTTGTTCATTCCTCCTAAGTTTTTTGTGTAGAAGCAAGGCCGTATGAGCTGCAATCATGTGTATACCTTCCATGGAATCAATCTTGATGGCCAGGTGAAATTTGCTTCCATTGATGTTTGAGAGCTAATGCTGCGCTTCTACCCTCCGTTTGTATCGATAGGCTAAACATGTACTAATACAAACACTTGGGATTCAAACCCTCAGCATGCAGTACTAAAACTCATAATTGCATTGTGCTCATAGGATCGGGCAATTTAGATACTAAAAACTAGGATTCAAGGGCCAAGTCTGCGTTCACACCTTAATTGTATATAAGGATCGAGCAGGCCAGCGCTTTTCATTCAAGGACCAAATTAGCAGGTAAACATTCATTACTTACAATGGTTCGGATCGAATTAGCAGCTCCTACGTCACATCCTACAGCTCCTACGTCACATCCTACAGCTCCTACGTCACATTCACTCATTCAATAGGTCATAAAGGACTACTTGAACATATTTATACATTACTTGCTACTAAATGGGATGGGAATTCTATTGCAACCCATTTATAATGAAGCCCTAGAGAAACTATCATTCCATCCATTGCCAATGAAGAGCTAGAGCCAAAATCCTCCGTCTATAACGAATCTTCCTGCCAACCCTGACCCCTCGGTCATTCAATATCCTTGTTAATGAAGGACGAAGGTATCACTGATACCTTCTCATGATAATACATGCCCATGGCCAGACAATAATTAATAATTACTAGCAGAGTACCGCGTCGCTCATCATCGCGGGCAACCACCGCGTCGAAGCGCTGCCCCCGCACACGATATAGCTACGGCCCCCTTCCTCTTCCGCGTCACTGCGGTCGATGAAACTTAGTGTACATTGTACACTAAGCCGTACAGATGTACGGCTGCACATCTTATTAGTATTATTATTATTAGTGCAGGCTGTACAGGTACAGCCAGCACAGAGCCGTACTATTAAATATAGTTGGAGTTTGTAACTCCATCGGATAACCACTGATCGCCCTGCAAACTAAATCCACCAATCGCAGCGAGAAAATGGCCGTTACGTGTGCTTGGGCCGCCACATGTAGTGTAATTTTGTCGCAAAAATGATTTATATGTTCATAAAATTGTCGCTCGATCGATTAGGTCGCAAAGTGTACCTAGGACGCAATATTTACTTAGGCTTCTCCGTGTTGTACTTCAGTAATTTGTGATAGCATAGCTCCATAAGCTGACTAAACAAAGGTATACCATTCAAACATAGATAATCAAATCCTTTTGCTGATGAATAATTGTGGGAAAAGTCAAGGTTTGTCTGATTAGAAACTTTGTGTTACCACTATTACCAAGATTCATGTTTATTATGATAAATATTTTTTTTGTGGGAATCGATTTTCAGTAGTCGAAAGTCGAAACCACATTTTTCAACGGTCGAGATTTATCATTATGAATTAATAGTAATAATAAATAATATTTTTCGTAATGACGAAAAATTTGTCTGTCAGAGAAAATTTGAAGCTTTTTGATTTATAGCTGATTTAGCTTTTCTGTTCATGGTAACGTAACGTCAGTCTGTTCATGATAACTTAACGTCAGTCTGTTCATGGTAACGTAACGTGACAAACGTTAGTCTGTTCATGAAAACGTAACGTCAGTCTTCATGGTAACGTAAAGTCAGTCTGTTCATGGTAACGTAACGCCAGTCTGTTCATGGTAACGTAACGCCAGTCTGTTCATGGTAACGTAACGTCAGTCTGTTCATGGTAACGTAACGTCAGTCTGTACTCTGTTCATGGTAACGTAACGTCAGTCTGTTCATGGTAAGTTGGTAACGTAATGATTTTTATATTCACGGTAATGCAACGTTTTTCCGTTCGCACTATGTAAAGTTCCTGTTTACGCTAAGCGAAAGCTTTTTTTTTTACAGTAACGTAACTTTCTAATTTTCTTGGTGAATAACAATTTTCGTGAATTTTTCAAGGCTGAAGAATTTTTTGTTTCAATGACAATGATTTTAATTTTCAAACTAGTCGCTTGCAAGTTCAACGGAAAAGACATAGTTCCGTTGTCATGGCTACAGTACTCATGAATACGAATTTGTTTTCGTTGTGGAAGCGGAAGTCGTGTTGGCGAGAAACCGCAGATGTGGTCTGCCTAATGTCACTTAGAATACTAATAATCCTGCGTGCTTACACTTCAATGCTCATGTTGTCATTATTGTGCCAGGAAGTCCTCCACCTGTCCTTCAATAAACAGAAATGAAAATGTATAGATGAAAAGCTTTCTTCCAACAAGTTTAAATGTGCCTGTAAGAATTATAAGTGAATTGTAGATGGCTACTCCAATTATAGTGAACAGTGATAATTACTTGACACAAAAGCGTCACAAACTCGCTCAATCAGTCACCATGATAATCAATTTCTTTTTCAACTTCTTGAATAGGTATTTTTTAGTTTACTCTTCATCGTTAATTTTTCTTGCAAGGCCACTACCGTGAAAATCAAGTAAAGCAAAATGTTTACTGCTTCACTGGACCTGTTGCTGCCATGCCGTATTGTTGCTCCAGGGCCGCAACGCATGCAGCGATTACGTCACTGCCAGGCGTGCCAACCTTAACGCCGCACGCCCTTCCTTCTTCCTATGGACGCGTCCGTGCCGACGCTCAAACATCCCTATACTGATAAGCTATCGTGACCACAACACAAACTTGATCCTATTTGTGAGTGAGTTTTAACGCCAGTTCTGTTTGCGGAATAAAAGTATTAAAAGTTTCAGGAAGAATTTTTTCTACATATAATTGAAACAATTGTAAATTATTTATACGACTATTGAGTAGCAAAGTTATATCGTATATTTAATATTTGCATCTAAAAGAAAATCGCTTTTTTGTATAATTAAATTTGATAATGAGTAAAATGAAGTAAATAGAACCAGCACAAATAAATGGATAGTTTTATACACGGTCGTTGTAACTCAGTTTCATCCTCAAATCCATGCATTTTTCAAATAATTCATAATTTATTGTAACCCTGCAGAGAACAATGTATTAGATTTTCTCTAACAAGCTGACGTGACATTTGTAGTGTTCCGCGGCGTCACTGGATTGCTGATCCTGACGTTCTCGTGCGTTCGTGCTAAGGCAGCGTCCCATTGTAGCCTCAGATAGACCCAAATTACTCACTGTAATTTGAAGTTTTGAATTCACATAAAAAATTCGTACTATATGAGCATGCTCCTTGGCTCGCTTTGGCGGAAAGATTTTTACTAGATAATTCCGCATCCACACGCTCGCAAACTTGATGCGCCAGCTGTTCAAGTGCATTTTAAATTCACATGAAATTGAATTTTCCACTAAATTATTACTGGCAATTTAGAATTAGGCTAACATTTTTCCTTTTGTTATTTATTGTTAAGTGATATTTCTCTGAAAATGATATTACATATTTAGCAAGGTGGAGACGAAGCGTGAATCATTCATCGATTTAGCTTACGGCTGGCTTCTGCGAAGTTTCGCATCGTACACACGACTGACAATAGCGTGTAATAAAGAGGTTTAATTGAATTCTGAATAAAATGATAACAAACTACAAAAATTGCTCTGTCGTATCACACATTTAGCAATTTATTTGTGAATCTTACGCTCTGTGAACTATTCTGGAATAGGAGTGACCAAACCAAACGTACGACAACTGCGTTCCCAACAACACCCACCTCACCAGTCAAAAGTGCTCGGCGGCGCGCACTTGTCTCATATACCCGCGAACTTCGATTGCGCGTACGTCGTATCCGCTCTTCTGAAGCTTATTTGTCTTCCAGTGAGTGATAAACAACACGACTTAGAACCATGGGTCTCACACTGAACATCCGATCGCTGTGCTCTCTTCCCGGCATCCTGAAGATCATCCAAATTGTGAGTTGTAACTGTTGTATAGTCAAACTTATGCCACATAAACTTTGACCCTTGAAAGATATTGCAAGCCTGTAAAGTATTTTCTTTATTTTATTGCACGTACATTTCTTAATGACATTGAATTGAAACTATTGGTGAAAAAATTTCCAAAATATCTGAAAATTGGCTGTTTCAGCCGAAAATAAAATTTGTTTGGCCTGGCAAATCTATCCCTTTATACCCGGCTATTATTAATTTCACCGACACGTTCCTTTAACGTAAAGGAAAACGGCCGAAAGCTCGCATAAAATTTTTTAGCTTTGCAAGTAGACTTATTCTTAGATTAAGCTTTTTGAATTACCCGAATTTTATCAGCTATTTCGATAACTAAAAGGTAGTTTCCCTATAAAACTTCTTCCTTCTGGTGCATTTTCCCCTCTCTCTCTATTCTCCGCGGGTGACTGACGACTATGTACTGACTGAATTTTTAAGACAGTGAAAAAATATGAATTCAGGAGGAGCAAGACATGAACAAGGGCGCATGTTATATTTCGTCTAAAATCGTATGCTACATTTCCTTTTTTAATCAGTTGCCATTTTAAAATGCTTCGTACCCTAGGGAACAACTGATATCTAGAAGCTATTTTAAATCTACCGTCCGTTGAAAAGATCTGATCAAAAGGCCAGTCTAGTCAAGAAAAGTACAAGAATCGGCGACAGGCCTATCCAGGCCTATTCTTTAAACGCCGAAGATACTATACTATACTATACATTGTAGAAATTATCAAGTTACTAATCGATCTTGACCAAATGAACCACGAATGCTATGATTCCATCCTGGCCCCCGTCACTAAGAAGCGTAAGATGTGTTTGTGTATGCACGGTTTGCTTGAATGTCATGGTAATAGACCCAGTTAGCGTCAACCTTTGTTCGTGAATGTTTAGAGCGTATTGTAGGATATCGAATCCGTGCTTACCGTGACATGAACTTTACATTTAGAAAATGTGCTGTTGTAAAATGAGAAAATCAAAGTTTCTTATTTCCGTTGCAAGTTACGTAGGAAGCTCTCTTAATGGGATTTTGCACTAATTTCAGCAATACTGAAAGTCTTTAATTATTTGTAAGAATGCAGTTATGGTGGTCATATCACCTTTTTATAAATAGTTTAAACGAGAGATTGTCTTATTATAATGGCTTCTCTGTATTTTATATTGTTTGGCAGTCGACATCTATATGATTAAACAACTATCTATTAAATAGTAGAGTATATGAGTCTTCGTGCGCTTCGTCGTAGTCGTAATAACGAACTATGATACTTTCTGAGTTTGCCACGGAGGATAATTTGCGCTGCTTATCAAATTCTGGATTGTTAATTGTTAACCTGCTCTATTATAGGATTAAATTTAAAGTGACGTGAAGTGGAATTAAGATGGATACTCTATTGTATAGTTACGCTGTCCAGTGTTAGCGGCTCACTGTTCTCGCCATTAGAACGTGCTGACTCTCAACTAAATTCATTTGAAATTAGCTGTAGAGTTCACAATTTCAAGCAATTGTATTAGAGTTAGCTAATCTTCCAAAATGTCGGACTACAGTCATATTTGTTATTCTCTGAAATATTATTTGGAATATCGTCTTGTTAAAAATCTTTCCCTGGCGAAACATTGTAAGTTCCAGACTCCTATAACCCATCGTTTGATTTCCAACTGCTGCTGATCACGAATTTCCCTGTATTCTGCACTCGATTAATTTAGATTATTTATTGTCGTATTGAACGGGCTTACGATATTACAGATCACGTCATTATATATCATTGGTTGATTTTCAATCCCGTTTCTCATATGTATCAAGAATGTTCCCAAAGTCTGACTCATGCAAGATCCACGTATCAATAGCCCTAGAATATTCCAGCTGTAGCAGCCAGAAAGCCAACACCTGCAGCAGGTGCACAGGTGTAGACCTGCCGCAGGTGCACAGGTGTAGACCTGCTGCAGGTGCACAGGTGTACAGCATTAAGTTCAGTACAGCTCCTACCTCCCAAACTGGCAGCGTCTCTGTCATTCCGAAGCCTTTCTGGAAAAAACATGCCTTCCCAACACTCGTATTCTTGTTCTCATTCTCATACACTCATATTCCTAAGTACACGTCCCTACCCTCAAATTCCTCATATTCCTAAACACACGTTCCTACCCTCAAATTCCTCATATTCCTAAACACACGTTCCTACCCTCACATTCCTCATATTCCTAAGCACACGTTCCTACCCTCGCATTCCTAAAGTAATTTCTTCTCATTCTTTAGCCAGGCGAGAGGTCCAGCACACAAGACGTCTCTATATCCCGAGGAAATTTGTTCAATGCGAACCGTCCCTGCCAGGCATGCTTAAATAACATCGTGACTTCGTTTGTGTCAAATTTAAAAGTTGGCAACCGTCGACTTATTACTTTATAGAATCCCAAATTTAATTTTCGCGTTACATCTTCGGTAAAAAGACAAAATGTCCTGCTGTACACCATTACGTGTGTGAAATATGAACAATTAAATAGAAAAAAAAGTGGGTTCATTATCATATGATTTGCGTATGTCCAAGTAGCATGACCTTAATTTGCTTTCCGATAGCAAACGTCGTTTACGAATTTGTTTTGGATTTTTCCACTTCTACCAAAAAAATAATTAGGTTGACAATTACCAAATTAAGTTCCAGTACCTAACCTAACCAATATTGTAAAATTGTTAATAATTTCTAACCAATCCTGACTACGACCTGCAGCCAAATTTACCATGACTTATTATTTCTAACCGTAGCAATCTGTAACCCATTTTGATCCGTAATCCCTTTATTTGTAAAAAAATATATTCCTCCAAAGCGTGATCGGTTCACAATAGTCACGTAACTTGCACGTGACTTGTTCTTTAAATTTGCGCTTTCGACATAATCTCAAAATCCACGTAAAATTCTTACGTAACGAACTAACGTCACGATTGATTTTTGCTTTTGTTAAGGTCTGACCTACATATTCCATGATAAGTCTTGAGTATCCAGCATACTTTGTACTATCATTTCGTTTCTACTACATTTCCAGAAGAATTTTATATAAAGAATTGTATTGTACGAGCTATCTCTGCTGTTCAGTTTTGTTTACTATTCTTTCTATCGAAGTTGGTATCGAACAACCCACATCATTGAAGACCAAAGTGGACGTTTAGTGCCCCCAGTCCCTCATAAACCTTTTTAAAACTTCTTTTACAAATGTACAAAACATGAGGTATTATGCAAAATGAAAAATATAAAACATGAAGTATCGAGGTACATTTTAATCTTATTTATGCTGCAATGTGAGATTCTGAGCAAATATATCACATTATTCTAAACCAAAATGACTAGAAGTGTTTGCACCAACACTTCAACGCTTAACGAATTACATTTGATCTGGGAAATACTACAACAAGTGGAGTAAACTGTTCGCTTAAGTCTAAGATGTAATAAGTAGAGAGTTAATTTATTAAAGCAATATATAGCATAACTGCAAGGGATGCGTTGAGATGTAGCGTGACCTCATGGCAGTGACGCGCAGGCTGCCATTTAACTCAATATTGGGCGTGCGTTGGGGACCGACTGTGTGTCATCTTCTCATCAGTGCACTTGTCCGTTATTACTTGCTATACAGCTTCATTTCCTTCGAGTTCTAAACATCATGCATGCTCTTATTGAAGTTTCGTGCCAAGGATTCATGACAATGAATATTCACTTGTTTGGTAACTGTTTATAGTCGCTCAATAGACTTAAAGAAAATCAAATGAATCGAATGATCAACTATTGAAAATTAGGTAAAAAATTTTCAATTTAATCACAAAAATTCTTGCATACAATCGAACTACTGATTATAGTTACTTCATACCAGAATGCAGAATAAGTTTGATGGACGTTTTGTTGATAAAATTCAGATAATTATATTATTGTTCGATCTATTTTGAATTACTTTATTTGTTTTTCTAAGTTTATATTTTGATTTTCATCCGTTGATAAGTGACGGCTAAATCGGAAGGACCATTATTCAATAGTTATAATTTATTTAAATGGTATGCCTATAAACTCCATAACAAAAAAATTAGATCAGTACTCACTGCAGTGAGTGACAGAGAGCGCATTTTCTCGTCCGTCCGTGAAGTTACGGACAGACGGACGGACGGACATGACGAGCACAATAGCGCCTTTTCTTCCATAAATGAGAAAATGCGCTAAAAAGACCCCTCATACCCGGCTCAAATTCATAATGATTCTCAAAAGGTAACACTGATCGACACTTTTTTAGTTAAGAGAATGTCTTCCTCTCCTACCAGCTGCCGGGAGACGGGAGCTTTGGTCGATATTTTGGCGCCAGCAATTGTCAGCCTGCACCGCCCCTGAAATAACCGCGACTAGGGCGCCTATAATGGTGCTTCTGTTCCAATTTTCGTAGACATTAGAGAAACTCTTGTACGAAAGAGTTTCTTGCACATCCACTGTTTTTCTTCTTGCACATCCACTGTCTTCCATTACGCACACTCAACTTGATTCTCTTTCCTTTGAATACGTTTGTCTCATCGCATTCCGAATGGTTTGATTAAAAGTTCTCTGTTGTTCCAACTCAGAATTCGAGAAAGCACCACAGAACTGTATAGGGGATCACGGGCATTCGCCTGTAGGGGATCACAGGCATTCACCTGTAGGGGATCACAGGCATTCACCTGTAGGGGATCACAGGCATTCACCTGTAGGGGATCACAGGCATTCACCTGTAGGGGATCACAGGCATTCACCTGTAGGGGATCACAGGCATTCACCTGTAGGGGATCACGGGCATTCGCCTGTAGGGGATCACAGGCATTGTTTTCGTTATTCTACTGTCCAGCTGCAGGCTAACATGGTACGCAGCCACTGAAGCTTCGCCCTTGTTAATTCCCCTTGTTAATTCATTGACTGAAGAGGCTGAATAGCCTCCTTTCAGACCGCGATCTCGACCGTGACATTCAGCTACGC